CCAAGTTTTTCCCAACTAATACTGGGTATGTCGCAGAAAATTGCCTTTTTGACAGCGATAAGTATGGGAGGGCCGGGGAAATTTCCCCCTTGGTGCCCCAATTAGCAGCTTAAATGTGAATGAAGCGGAACAAGGGTGTCGTGTAGTACCACTTATAATGGATCATCGACAAAAGATAAAAACGCGCGTTGAAGGGTAGACTATAGAGCGATGCGAACACAGGTGTAAACGAATGCCATTCACACATTCACAGTTCTCATTACTTTCTCACGCTCACAAGAATACGCCACGATTTTTTGTGAGCACAACTTTTTTAAATTGAAACTGAAGAAGTACTTCAAATTTCAATAGATTTGTTGTCATATTTGGAGTAAATTGCTTAGTTGCAGTCATCATTTTCGAGTAAAATACTGTTTTTTCTGGCCATTTTTTTCTTCAAATATTGTTCCAGTTTTATTATAACCTTTGAAGATGAATGGTGGAGTAACTTGGGAGGGGAACAAGTGATTGTGACATTTGTCTTTCTTATTAATTGTTTGAATTCATTGAAATGTCACATAATAGTTGTCTCGTGGTTTTCAATTTCTTGCATTCCAACAACTGGCAGATAATAACACGTACAATTGGCAACAATTCAATCCGATACATGTAGTGTGACGTTCCTGAACCCATATGTGGAGTAACTGAAATATTCCGCCACCGTCTGATAAAATGACGACGTTGATGTACGACACAGGAAATTGTTTATTTCATAAATATGTTTCCCTAAGATGTCTATTATAACTACAATATTCATTCACTTAAATTGGTGTGTGTATGTATGGTATAATATATATTGTGTTATACATAGATGTTATTGATTTGTATTCGTATCCTGGTCGGTTAGTATATATATATATAAATTATGTCAGTTTGCATTTGCATAAAACATACATCTCCTCAATAAACTGAACAGGTCCTCTACTACATAAGATTACCCTGACCCATTGAATAACCTATGCCTCACAGTTGATTCATCTCGGTCAATCACCCAAGTGTGTAAGTCCGGTGAAAATAAAAACAGATAAGTTATTTAAAAGCAAATGTGGCTATTTGTAAATAGTTGGTTTAGTTTTATGAATCAACAGTTTATGTAACTTCTCCAAACATCTGCGCCTGTACTTGGTAATTTTATAAACATTTGAATTGACTCGTTTGTGACATTCCTGGGTTTAATTTCATTTCGTGTGTTATAAGTTTGGGAGAGTTTTAATCTTTTTGTAGTACTGTCGTATGACTTTCCACAGTTGCTATAATTACAACATCTACCTCTATGTACGTTGTACAGAATAGTTTTCTAGGAAACTATCTTCACACGTCGCGACAATTAGTAAAATTAACGGTTTGTACGATTATCTCTTTCCCTGAAATAAGATTTAAGTGACTTTATGTGGGTCATAGTATATACGACTGAAGCATGCTGGGATATACAATATGCAAATGTTATAATGGTTATGTATCTCGTAAAATTCTGCAGTGGTCGTTGCGCCGCGTTCTGTTCGATATGGGACTCATAGCGACGTATACAACGCGTGTAAAATACATTGTTTGTGCACATGAAATTCGAACGCGCGCTCAACGACGACCATCGCCCTTTAAAAAGACAGAAATAATGACAATATTTCATATCTTCTCATAGTTTTATTTCAGACATAGTCCATATATAAAGAAAAGATACAAACAAATATGTAATAAGATAAAATTACAAATCATACAGATTTGAAAACTAAGTAAACTCAGTAGACTACCTTAAGTTTGTCCAATGCTGCACTAAAGCAGAATTCCATCTCACATCACTTTTGAGCAAGGCACACACAAGCGTATTGCTTGATGTTCTTAGTCGATCCATAAACGCATAAATTAGCTTTCTGCTGTGTTTGTGCGGTTTTTATCGAACATAGTGATTGTGCTACAGTCACGGGCGTACCCCGACAGTTTACGAAAAGCGTTATTTTAACTGACCCGAAGATTAGATTTTCTATACATTTTCTAAAGTAGATTTTCTATACATACACCATAACTGGCAGCAATACAAGCTAGAACAGAATGTTTTAAATAGCAAAAGTTTGACTTCGTGGCTGCAGTTCTTAAATTTACGTAGCACAATGTTTGCTTATGTCAGACAGACTCCAGTTTTTGTTTTAATGCATGTGGGTCTGTCTGTTTGTTTATTTGCGTATTTGTTTATTCCTGACGTGCAATTATTCTTTCATTTTATTATACTCATTTTAAAGCGCGGTGGTCGTCGCGCAGCGCGTGTTAGAATTTGATGTAAACAAACAATGTATTATACACGCGTTGTGTACGTTGTCATGAGTCCCATATCGACGCGACCACTGCCCTTTAATAAGCTAATGGTATTGACCAGGATAGAACAGGGGTACAATACATACTGATCTGGACATTGTCATCACGTATTCGCCTGACTTTGTCGCGTTGGACTTGACATTGGCTTGGAATTGAGCAGAAACAACTATACAAATCTCAATACGTCGAAAAATAAGCTGGTCTAGTTTTTAGATGTTTGGCTGGCCAATCAGGTATAATCTGTAAGTAGCTTCGCACCACATGTGGTCATATGTGGAGAATAGTTGTAAGAGTTCAACATAAGTGTCCGTAAACATGCAATAATGATGGACAATCTTGAGAATAGAAATTGGTCGCCCAAAACGTTGTTTACGTAGAACATAATAGTCGTTCCATGGAAATATAAACTCTCATGTATACTTGTGTGCATGCGCTGTGAATTCATAGTACGTACCACTATTTCAGAGAGTATGGTCTATGCTATGATTTAACACATCACACGGGTGCACCTATGTTATATATCTATTGTGTACCTCGCGGACACCGGCAATAGTACAAAATTATAACTCATTTATAAACAAAATGATATAGATAATGCACGATCAAAAATATTCTGAGTAAAAAGCTTTTAAGAATATACTTAGCGGTATTTCTCCGTCCATCAGTATTGTTTGAACTCATCAGTACATTAAATTTCCATCTTAATGGGACATAATAAAATTTCTTTAGGGGTGAAATGTAGAATAAATTAAACAAAATGAAATTCGTCCCACTGTATTTTGTGCACGTAAGATACAATAACTTGTTTCTCTTTCAATCATACCCTTCCTACCTTTTATAATAAGTAGTTCTGGGTATGCGAACGCATGACGAAATCTAGAAAGAGCCACCCTTAGTTTGTATCAATATTAAATAAATAAGATTCCTTTGACAGAGAAGTCTTGAATAAGTTCACGTGATGCATTATATGTTTTAATTCAAGATAAATACATATTGAAAACACATACTAAATATATCTTTTATGTTTTCAGAAAGAAATCACATCCTACTACGGATCACTAATACTGTAAACAGACGATTACAAATATTCGCAACTTAATGATTTAGGTATTCAAGACGGGAGTTCTGTGGCAGTGACTCAAAAAACTTAGTTATAAGTTGCTCACTGCTATTGAAAGTTGCGGTTTTTTTCTCCTCTCACTCGTGGGGATATTCCTTGAATAGAATGCTTATCATGTCGAATCGAATCGTACAATTCTAAGGAGACTCGCTGAATACAGCTCAATTTTACCTGTTGTCAACTGGAATGAAACTTGCTATTACGACCAGATAACCGCTAACCTTGTCGTACTAAGAGTTTCTCACTCAAATTACCGCTGGGAATTGTAGTTGATTCCTCGGACCCTACAAGACAGAGCTGGGTAGTTTGGTATATGTGGGTGTTTCCGTGTAGATTTCTCCGACTGATTGTGCCTGTATTTCTGTGTACAATATCTCAGTTTATTTCAACAACTTGAATCACAGAAAGTCATGTGATTTCCTGTTTGTGAACAATTCTAAACCTGGCAGTAAACTTCGGTTGAAACTTGAAGGTCGGTGTACTATTACATTCAAGTTTGGGACGCGGAATTACAACAACGTTATTTTTTTAATTTGTTCACAGTCTCTCTCTCTTGTGGAGGGACTGTGATTTGTTGCAGTTGGTTCTTGGTGTTTTCTTGTGAGATTCATTCTGGTCGACTTGATATATACTTTGAATTTTACTGTTTATTTCAGCATGTTATATAAATGCAAAGGTTCATTTGCCTGGTTCAATTGTCAGTAAAGCAGCATGGAATCTACTAGGCGTGATTAGTACGATGTCTAGAGGTCAACCGATTTCCCTTGTATAAAACTATGTCAGCAATTTCATAGAACAATTTAGATTGATAATAGAAACTGTTTCCGAAACTAATACATTTCGAGGTCCCCGTGAGACAAGGATCGTGCCAGTTATGTTTTGTATGTGTATGTTTAGACGCGTGAGGGTGAACCGCGGGAATGGCCAGCGGCGCTTAACGGTATTCATGCCACTGACAGGCGCCAGAGTGCCGTGCGCTTGGTATGTCGAATAATGAACCACGGCAGCTAGAGAAAAGAGGTGAAAATGAATACTTTGTTGAGGTTTGTGTAAAAAGACACAAATAAATGCATCTCAAATTGTTTGTGAAAGGGGACATTATAATGGAAAAGCAGTGTGTGTTTGGGGAAGTGCCACGCCTGCACGATTATTATTGCTGGCTTTACTATACAAAATAATACGTCAAATTAACACTCAAAATATGTCGCCGTTTGATTCGGATAGAAAAAAACAGATTGCAGTCATCTTCTTACTAGAAACGTGATGTTTAGGAAAAACTAGCTTCCGTTTTGTTTAGATGGAATTTCGTTTTTTTTCCCCGTTGATACCGTCGGCACGTCTTTAGTGATTGCCTGGGGGCTGAGCTTGTCAACATCAACGCAGTTCCAATGCCATTGAAGCACGTAGAAAGAGGTCTAGACACGGTGTCTGCAGCAAGGTAAAGAGCATAATGATCGCTTATTTGGATTTTCTAAAGTTTGTGTATAATTTTGTGGCCCAGTGAACATTATTGTAAATACGAGGAGTGCGATAACTGCCATTGCGCGTTGCTTCCTTTCTAACGCACGGTCCAGACCATGGCTTGCTCGGCAGTTACATGTTTTCGCTGGATGATTTTCCTTTGTGTGGTTTTTACTGAAATTACAGGTATTCACTGCTTTAACTGTGCTGTATTACTGACTAGATCGCAAACTGTTTACGCACGTGTTCCGGCTCAGCGAGGGGATCCGTCTTAAATTTTCACGGGATAACATGTTTTTTTTAAAACTAAATCTACATTATCCAACGAGGAGCTCTATGTGTTCAGAACTTTGAGACGTTTGCATGACGGTCGTGCATAATGCGCCCGGTTACCCTACAATCAATCCAGAATCGATTACCGGACCTTAGCTTCGAAAGCTAACTTTATTATTGATTTTTATTTACAGGGCGGCATCTGCACAAGTCTTCCGCTGAAACGGAACATAATGTAGTGGAAACCGATAATATAGCAACGCAGACGACGTCGTCAGTTTTATTAAATAACACATCAAGAAAAGACGAAAAGGATTCTGACTATTCGTCGTTTGGCTGCTGTGAGAGAAAATCTAAAAGTATTGCTGTTGGTTACGGTAAGTGTTGCTAAGGAGACGCAAAGTGATTACAACTACCAACGTCCCAATTGGCTCTATGATTTCAATTTTGAATTTCGTTGAATATATAGCAGTTATATAAGAGTGCAGAGAAGTAGCGATTCAAACTGACATCTATTTTAGTCGTAGTCCCCGATGAATGTGGGTGTGACACACAGACACTGCAAGGTGCACGGGCATTAGTCGTGTCACATTAGATATACTAATGTAATACGTACGTGATGGAGTCGTGACTGTTGAATGCCCGTGCACATTGAAAATAAACATTTGGAAAAAAGGCTTCAACCCCACAAAATGGTCATGTTTTGGTTTGGGAAACATCATGTTTGCACGGTACTTTTATATCATCGTTCATCTCAAAGTTGTGGATATTGAAAAAAAATATAATTTACGTGAAATTAAAGCGCGGTGGTCGTCGCGCAGCGCGTGTTCGAATTTCATGTAAATAAACAATGTATTTTACACGCGTTGTATACGTCGCTATGAGTCCCATATCGAACAGGACGCGGCGCGAAGACTGCCTCCCTTTAACATTGCTTGTAATAGTAGTAGTAGTAGTAGTAGCGATTCAGTTGTGACCCGTGTTATTGGTCATGTGATCTCTACTTGATAGTGCCATCCATATACTAGTAATTGCCTTGGCTGGCTGAAACAAACTCTACACATCCGTATATGTCATGGGGTCGTTTGATGTTATTCGGACTTCAATAATTAACGCAATTCAGTTGCCAAAACTTGTTTTCTAAAGTTCTTTGTCAGACTTTTAAAACGCGTAAACAACCATGTGGTTTCTGTATAGAAACTTGCATTGTCCAAAGTAGGTCTGTAATTCCGTTGGGACTGATGCGTTTCCATCCATTCTTGTGCAAATTGCGTGTTCTCACACTGAATTTCATCTGCTAACATTGTGGCCAGGCACGAATGAAAGCCCATTGTTTAACACAGTACGCATGATGTCCTTTGTTTTAGATGTTTCTGGTACGCAGATTGAACTGGATATTGGCGAATGTCGGAGAACATGTGGACCTCATTCACATGGGCGTCTTAATAGAAAAGAATCAGCTCAAAATGTTAGCTGGGACAGAGAAAGGGTAGGTGAAAGCATTCTCAAATTTATTAACGTTGACCCTGAGTTCACTGAGCATGCGTGTTTTCATTCATCCTAAACTCCGCAATATAATAAGCGCCATCGGCGTCCCTTGGACTCCCCCACGGCATTCCCCACTTCGATACGAGTATTGACAGGTATAACTAATCCCAACATATCCCGATCTTTTAAAATAAAAGATATAAATTATTTGCAATTCATGGAGAAAACTAGAAACACTTAAAGATATCAACAATTTCAAGTTAGGCATAGTTATGTGAAATATGCAGTGTACACTGTTGGTGCAATTAGTGATTGATATCATGCGATACAGCATGCAAGTGTAAGATGTAGTTCGTCTAACGTGATCAACTAACAATTTCTTTCTTGTGACAATTCGGGTGAATCTTTGATTCGGTTATTTTGTTTAGCTTGATTGTTTCACGCTGTCTGTGATAAATATCTGTGACAATGACATGGTACTTAAAACGGGACACCTTCTAATGCCACGGTGTGATGTGCATTCCATTAGATCAGTTGTTTACCTTCGGCAAGTAGTCCACCCATGGTCAAACAACTACTTGTTTGTACCATCTACTTGTGAGGTTTAGGACTTCAAAGACGAATCTGTTAACGAGTATCAGGTAAAGATGAAAGAATAATTAGTGGCAAGAGTGTCAATTAGCATTCCTGTGTTAATTAGACTTGTTATGGAGTTTCCACAGTAAATACCCCCCCCCACACACACACACACACACATACACATACATACATACAGAAACGAAGATTGATCGCAAAGTAAAATACGCTGAGTCACAGTGTCGGTGAATAACGGGTCGTGCCGCATTTTAATACTCAATACTGATATGGGCGGAGCCGATCATGAAGTTTTAAAACTTAAACTGATGTATTTTACTTTTATTAATGTTTTATTCACAGTCGTATCATTCGTGTCCCAGAGATTTGAGTTGCGAGCCAACTCGACTTAAAAGAGAAAAAGTTCATTTGGTTGGGGATCCCGTGGAATATGACGTCATAGAGAACTGTGCTTGTAAGCCTGTTCCGGTGGTATGTCGGAGACGATCCCAACTGGTGGTCTTGTACCCTGATTCGCCGCACCAAACGCAGATAGACGTGGGATCGTGTGAGGGACACTGTAGTGATGGTAAGTTTTGCTATATTTCTGAACCAAGAAATATATTGTATTAAAATATTTCTTGAAATCAGATGGTCAGTAAACGGATATATGTATCAATATAGTCAACACAAGCAACTTACACACTGGTATTGACAAAATCTACAACAATCAGAAAACATTTCCTCGAATGATTTTCAATTTCAAGATTTTAGTCTAATGAACATGTTGAAATAATATCTGTATTACACTATTTGACCAGATAATTACAGTGTACTGTTTTCTTTACTGTAGTAAAAATACAGATTATCTTATATTTTGCATATTTTCTCGACGATATAAAACCCGGAATAAAAAAAATACTAACAAGATTTGATGATGTCATACTGTTCATGGCAACCAAGTGTAACTAAGCAGCCACTTTCGGATACTTAAAATACGTTTACTCGAATTGAGTAAAAACATTATTAATTATATATGATAATCTAAATACGAAATACTCTCATCACTTACTTTGTTTTACCACATTTTACAACGTACGGTCTGGGGTATCCACAATATCGTAGACCTAAACTGGAATGACATCATAGAAGACACAGACCGTCTAGTACGATATTAATTAAGTACCATATTTATTGTTTTTACTATAGGCGAAGGCACCGTATGCCGTTCAACAAAAAACCAAACGATTACAGTGGAAGGACCCAACGGTAAGATTTTGAATAAATAAATCAGTCTGACGTTTTACGGACAACAATTAACACACACACACACACACACACACACATATATATATATATATATATATATATGGAAACATGCTCATATATCCGGGCAATGCGCATACAATGATGTTTACAAATTCTATAATTGTCCCCATTTAATCACGAGAGATAGGATATGTTTACGCTGTAGATTGTTGTCTATTTCAGCAGCTAAAATAATAGAATAGTACAGAATCGAATAGAGTTTTGGTTTGTTTTGTTTTGTTTTTTGATAATGACTTGGTTTGTGGTTAATATTTTAATAAACATAATATAAAAAAAGAAATTCTTCTGAGTAGAACCATACTTGTCTATTTGCCAGCATGATGTGTATAAATTGAAAATATTGAAATATTTGTTGTTGATTCAAGTCGTTCAATGTCACGTTTGACCCTCTTGCTTGGCATGGTGAATGGAACATGTTATTCTGCTTTCTAGCATTTCGTAGAACGGAAGAGAGCCTTTCTGATCTGTGTATGTACATGCTGTTTTATATTTTATCACCTGTAGGTAAAGAATGTGTGGAGATCATTGACGAGTGTAGCTGTGAGTCAGAATGTTACCGTGTTCCTTATATGCAGTCTTACTATGAGATAGTCTACGACTCTGTTGTTAACAGGACGGTCCAACAGCATAAGGTAATAAGAACTGGCTTCACGATCTTTCATTGTTACCGTTTTCTCATATATATGTACGGGAGCCCTCACCGTGACAGCGAACCACAATCATAGCTGTGTAACACATCTACGCGTAACTATGGTAACCGTGACGTAAAATTGAACTTGGACACAAACAAACGTGTCCCTAAAAGATAGTGGTTAATCATAATCCTTAGTAATTATTCAATGAATAATTTAAACAAAGTGCCCTTTTCAATAATAGATATGAATTAATATAATATAATTGATGAGATTATATACTGTACTTCAAAATCAGCTTCAGCATAGTCGATCACATACAAATTGATTTGATTTCCTTTTATGGTGAAATAAAATCATTGCTTATGCCTCGTATAAGGGATTAATCGATGAAAGAATACAGTTTTCTAATACTCGTTTGTCTTGGTTGTTTTCAGTACGTACAGTAGCAATAACTGCACATGCGTAGTAGTGTTTTTTATTTTTCATTGAAAGAATACAGCAACTATCATATGATCTGCTCAAAGTAGTTCATGATACTAGTAAATTATAATCCTATTTGGTATTCAGTATGCTGTAGTATCAAACACAAATATTAACAATATTTGTTTTCGTGTTTGTCCATATTGCATATTTAAAAACAGTAATGTGAAATTAATGATATTTTGCTTAGCAAAAGTACTTATCAAGTAAAGAACGAAAACACAAACGCACACCAGGTTACCATGGTAACATTTTACTACTGAGTTGAAAACAGGTCAAAATACACACAAGTTTGGTACTATTTTTACGTCTGTCTTTAGATTAGACAGTCTCTTAAAATTTTAGGAATTGAATTCGTCAAAAGTATTTTATCCACGCCAAGAGTTGATTCGACATTGGCCAATTAAAAATCGTTATCTAGACTGACGTCATTGTACATATGCAAATCATTAGAATTTCTGTTTCTTTTCGTTCTACAGGAAATTGATATTGGACGATGTGTAGGAACGTGCTCAACGACCAATCATCTTCGATGTGTTATGAGGTAAGATGTGTGACGTGTATTCTACAGTTTTAATATTTCGAGTGCGAACATCATGAATTATTTCCTTTTTCATATTGTGTCACAATTTTAACGCCATTATAGTGAAGACTGATAATTGACGCTATAAACTGTTAATTTGTTGACAGATCGCCATCGGATCCAAATGTCTGCTTAATGTCTCTGGTAAAGAAAAATGTGAGCTGCCTGCCGAAGACATACACAACACACCAATTCGTATCGCGAGGGGGCGTTGTTAAGACCGTCCTCGCTGTCAACGAATGTTCATGTAAATAAAGAAACTGTTACATTGCAAAAAGTATATAAATCAACATCTGCGTACACTGGTATTTTCATTTAAAACAAGGAACACAGGGAGCATTCTCCGATCATACTACCATCCTCAAGTTTTAATCGACAGTGAACGCTAATCGGCGGCGGCACTGGCAGAGGCGAATGTGACGTCATGCTATACACGGAAGCGGATCGTTCATCAAAGTATATGCTCACCATGGTTCATTGAACGCGTGTTTATTCGCACCAGCACATCCTGTGATTACATGAAAACGAATTGAACAAAAACAATTTCCAGATGGGCTATACCCCCATTTTTTTTTATTTCAACAGGAAATATATCGCAGTTATTTTGAAGCAAGGTTTACTATTCAATGCATGTCCATGACTAGTTCATAACACGACCCGTAGTGCTTCAAGCAAAAGACGATTCAAATCTATATTGCAATTCTGGCACAAACAAATGACGGCCGCAGTAACGTTGACTTATGTGAGCAAGCTGCACAAAGCGTGCACAATCTGATACGATGTTGTGTTCTATACTACTAGTATATTCCCTTTGTACATATTACCACGTATCCTATTACCATTTCTGTAAAATATATTAATAAAAAAATCTACAAATGATCCAGCGCTGTTTGTGTTCGTTTGTTGCCGTTGTTGTTGTTCTTTGACTGACTGTAACAATAAACATTGTAAAGTTTATTCAAGTCATTGTTTTTGTCAAAGCTAGCGTTTATGCAGGTGAGGCCCGGTATTGTTTATGTGAATCGCACAGGTAACTTGATATAGTCATCAATGATTGGACGCTCACAGCTCACAGCTGCGGGTTTGGGGTTGCACAGACCAGTATTTGTGGAACGCAGTCGGTGTTTTTTTGTTTTGTTTTTTCAAAAATAGGGTACGTCTCTCTCCAGCGGTGTACATGGCCATTGTAGATGATTGCGCACACTCAACAGTTAACTTAAAAAACATTTACGTTTATGTCACAAAATGAAGAAAACATACCCACGTCCGACATTCTTATAGTTCGTATGTGTGTACTGCAGCAGATAACTCCATGGGTACAAGGTTTGAGACGACCCCTAAGTGAAAACTGTAAATTCAGAAGAAGCCCACCTGTACGGTACAGCCCAGACTGGCATGCCCTTTGATTACGCATTTCGTGTTTCAATTGCATTTAGAGGGATTACGGTAATATTGAAGATATCCCAGCTGTGGGGTTATAATTGTTCCGTTTAAGCGAGATTCCCACCGATCAGACATTCTTTTACAATATACAGCGTATAACTATGGTATCTGGTGATTTTCAATAAAATAAATTTGCAGTTAGATCACGAACTTCAAAGGTTGGATATAATATGATAATAACACGCGGGCGGTGCATGTTTATCTTACCCAAAACAGTAACATTTATTGTGTATAGTAATGTTATGAATAATTTGACGATAAATGTTTTGCTAAGACAAAGTTATAATCAGATAAATAAAACACGTGACCTCATGCAGGTGTGACGTATTTGTATTGACTTACATATTAGCAGACCACCGCGAGCTCTGCTCTTAACGGTTTAATTTATTTCGACGCCAATGTTATTATATAATACCCTGACCTTTTTCACCACCAGACTTTCTCGCCCAAATGTTTCTGCACTTTTTTCTTATGTTCTTCAATATTTCTGGAAATAAATCCAGATTTTGGAGCCAACAGACAAACTATAAAAAATTACTATTTTTGTCCCGATCAATTGAAAGATAGGACAGACTATGAACAGGACTATTTTGTGAATTTGTGACGAAAAGATGGAACCGGTGGTTACGGTTGTAAGTTGACTGTAAGTGAGCGTGACTGTGGCTAATCAACATAACAGATGGGAGAGATTAAAACTTGGAGTCTTTTTAAATAATTATAAAGTTACTTTTATTTCCGCGAATTACTGCTCAAACAAGGTTGACCAAAGCCTTGTCAAATCGTACGGGGCGATGACTTCAACATGTGGGTCTCAGGAAGCGGCAATGATGAAGAAAAGTCAATAAACACATCAACACTGTGTAAGTAATATATTGGCGATATCTGCTGTTCATTATCCCCGGGCCATGTCATATGTTACATTTGTCGAGAACACCTACAGCTAATAAGCGCGTATCCAGTATTGTGTCAATTTAGGTGTTGAGAAATGTCAACGGAATTATGGGTACTTTTTATTTGTTTTTAATACTTTATGTTGATTCGCTCTGTTATGCCGCTCACCACAACATAGAGGGCGTCCGGTCCTAATTGACAGAAGATGCCAAGGTTGTACAGATAAAAGCATTTATTACTGTATCACGTTATCGCAATATTGTCCAAGGACGGACGTAGTATATACATACATGGACAGGAATGCATAATGATAATTATATCAAAATATGACCCTGATTGCATGTTATCTAGTAAACTCTGGGACTCGGCGTGTCAATAGAATAAATTATTATATGTGTTCTACATTTCTAAGTTATGTTCTATTGTAAATACATGCAATACATTATATACGTTTAATCATATTGTCGTACGTGTCGTTATGCGTTAGCCTTTGTTAACTGAAAATGTATAGCGACTACCAAGAACATTTCAAATTGTTTTTCTCACCTATTTTTCAAATTCACAGTTTGTGTTGCTGTAACGTGTTCTTAAAATGAAAACGTACCACTACGTAGAAATATAAATAATGTGTTCACACATATACCTAGGTATTTCTCACCTAGCTTATTGACACTTCTATGTGAAAATAAAATCTGTTCGTCCGTTATAAGATGTATGATGTCGTGTAAGTTACCTAACGTACCCGTCTAGGCTCGCAAACTTTCGCAATATAACACAAGTGTTTTCAAATGAAGTCTTGATGGCATACATTGGGTTAATGTTACCAATGCCCCTGTATAAAGGCCATGCCCGTTAACAATACACGGGCAGGACGCCTCGTTAATTACACCAGTAGCAGTTGTCAGTGGCCTCGACATAGAGATGTCAAAACTGGCAAAATGAAAACAAAACGTTGCCATGTAGCAGCAATTGAAACATTATTTGAGTTGGTGGTGTTTTTAACACGTGCATAGTTTCGTCGCGCGTAACATTGTCGATTGTTGTGCATACTAGTAGCTTACTCGTGCACAACTTTTCCTTGCAAGGTTTTGCCATTTGTTCAAGGCTGTCAAGTCATACACTACATGTTTCTATATATATTCTGTGGAAACACAGTGTGTGTCTGTTATATACATTTTATTGTACGCGACGACCGTGTTTCCATGCCTTAAGTTCGAAAACATGACACAGCTTTATCAATTTGCCGTTAAGCTTTGGGCGGTTTCAAATAGCGTACATGTTATTTTGCGGCCAGCAAAGATGAGAGAAATTTGGCAGGCTTTATCCCATGCTTGCTATCTGAATTCCATCACATACGTGAATTAAGACAAAGAATTGACTGGTTTCTAAAAATTGACCGTTTGGCCGTGCCAAGCAATGCAATGTATTTGATGACAGAACCAGGCAAGATGTACACTAAAACTGATCAATGTCATCTCGGCATTTCGGGATCATCATCACCAAACTCCGCAATGTAAGCATCAGTTGATCTGACTCGTCCTTTTTGAGTGATAACTACAGCATGTGATTTCAAATCGGAAAACAGATTTCTGGAGAGGAGTCCCAGATAACACGTCTTTCTCAAAACATGTGCTATGGTTCGTTAAAACGCACCTATGTAAACACAGAGGAACGATAAAAAGGTTACATGTATACAAAGCACAATCCTAGAAGCCAGACAATATTGCTTTACACGTCGTTACTGGCACAATAGGGAAAGCAAAGACAACGCACAATGACAGTGGGGAACCTCCCTCCCTCCATTCCTTCCCGAATCTGACCTGGAATAAATACTCCAATACACGTGTTCCTGCTTTTAAATCATATAATCCTATTTTTAGTGATAGTCTTCTTGGTTCGGGAAAGTGAGAAAAAAATTATCGGTAGGGTACTTTTATTAAACAAGATATATTTAACCACCGATGTAAAACAACGACGTACACAAAATTGAGGAGAAACTCCAAAAGTTGAAGTCCTAGCTTACCCTAAATTATAATGGTATCGACTAACACCTGGCGAGGAACGCTGAATGCGCTATGACTCCTTTGCGAGTTCGGCTTTATCAGAATACACAGAAACAGAGTAAAATGTACTTAAGTGAAGAGCGACAAACTTGACTAACATATCTAGGTAGATGAACAATCCACCATGTGGCGTTTTTCCACCCACATATCTGAAGAGAATACGAGATTTTTAAACCAGCTGTGGCGCGTACTCACTAATGAGGGTTCGATAACTTGGCATATGACCAAATTTTGAAGGGGGTAATGTTACTATCGTTAATAAGTTTACCGACCCCTCCCCTAACCTATCGAAACACCTGGCATAACGAAAACACCGATGATGTATATGGAAATACTTCACGATTAGCGTATTCAACAAGTGTTCGCAGCTGTCTTGATCAATTCATGATTTCAATGAATTTCATCTTCGATCCATCCCTTCTTTAATTAGTGGTGAAAAGCTCAATTAAATCTTTGTTGGATGTGTGCTGGAGGTGATAATGTCATACCGAACACCTTGGCGTCACAGACTCGCCTTTGTTTCTGTGTTAAGCGGATTTTATGTATTTTCTCATTGGCTCGCCACTGGTTTGTGGGCGGGGTTTCACACCTTGAGGTGTCAAACTGTCAATCACCTTATTCAGTCTGACAATCGACATTCAAATGTCTCCATGGCTAAAGAACCGAGACAGCCCCTGGCGCCAGTCAGTCTGCCGTTCAGGTGCAAGCAATTGAGAGGGCTTCCCCAACTAACCGACGTCTGATATTCACACCAAGGCGTTGTAAGCGAAATCCCGAAGCATCCACTCTGACAGAAAATATGCGACCACTGGAATTTGTCACCTTTGCCTGCGCGCTCTGCCGAATGGTTCTCACGTCCCCAGTTCCGTATAATCAGGATAATTTACAGATGGATTCTACTAGGATGGAAAAGATGGAAGAATTAAATAACGCGGTACGAGAACAGGCAATTGAACAACTTTTGGAAGTTTTCGGAATGCCCAACCGACCTCAACAAGCAATGCATCGACACTCTCCTCCCCAGTTTATGGTAGAACTTTACCGAAGTATCGCGGATGACAGCGGCATTACGAGAGCACCCAATCCATACCACGCCAATATTATAAGATCCTTTCCCGACAAAGGTATGTAACATTTAATCAAATTTAATTCTAACTCTTTTTTTTTTTCGATATAAATCTGTGTCTATAAGTCGCATGTGTCGAAAATCGTTGACCGTGACGTATTTTTTCCTTCTTTTTTATTTAAAGTAGTAAGATTTATCGTAAGGCTAATCAAATCATCCCGTGTCGCGCCATTTCATATCAGGTATTCGGCACAATTCCACGTCACCAGAACTAACGCAAATATTCAGTAACGACACATTAATTTAATAAGTTCGTGTTAATAAATATCCCCAATTGCGAGCCCTGATTTATTATTTTGCTGGCGTGTATATGTTTTTAGAACTATGTGAATTACTACTTGAAGCAACCCTCCAGAACGTTGTGTTTCTAGGTAACGCTGGAATGCGCGTAACTTTAAACGTCGTGAGCTCGCTACGTCTACACACTGTTTTACTTCGGTCAACAAATTTACACACATCTGTGGTGCACCTTGCGGTGTACAACCATACAACAATGCTTTTTTTCAATTGTGCTTAAATTAGTAAAAAAGTCGTTTTTCTGTACATTGCAGAGCTGCTTCGGAGATAACTAATTTAAATTGACGTTGTTTGGCTTTAGTGGAATTAACGATTATTTAACAAAAACTCCGACGTTGAAAGAAAATGCAAATTTGCAATTGAAAAGCGGCTGCACCGATAAATTCACACCTTCCCCTAAGTGATGTATTGAATTCACACCTGAAAACAATGGCTGTTGTCAGTTTGCTATTGGCTCGCAATGAATATCACAGCTAATGAGATATAGACGACAATGGTGTTGATTAGACAAGAACAGATTTGAAAACTGTTTGGAAACCGTATCGTGACAACAGGTTGTTGAAGCAATGGTTTCAAGAATACGCGTTAAAACATTTTTTTATTTCTGCGCATTTAAAAAAAAGCAACTCTTAAGTGTTGGAATGAATCACCAATATATGGACACGCAGTATCAAACACATTGTTGTCGGGAGAAACATCTGGTGTCCTCCAGCTATATCGCGGGCAACTTTTCGCTGCCACTGAATAGCGCCATCAATCACCCATCGACGGAGTGTCATCAGACAATATACGGGCACGGCACTAGTTTTCATAAACGTTGTCATGGTTACAATTGTGCTGCCCCAAGTGAGAACCATGGGCGACATTCTTGAAATACCAGATTTTTTTTTGTTTCTCTACAGAAAAATATACAATGTTGAACGTTCGCATTCACTAGACTATGAAGCAGATCAGTACAAACTGACCAAACCAAGCTCAGTTGTCGGCGCTGATTAAAAACAAAGGCATTGTAAATTTCATGTTGGGGCAGCAATCCTAATTATTATTTTTTTTCATTTGCAGGACAAATGACAAAGACGCATTTCTTTTTTAATGTTTCAACTGTGCCCCAGAGCGAAGATATGCTCCAAGCCGAATTGCATCTTTTCAAACTTAAACCTAAAGGCCGTCTTGAGGACAGCAGAAGACAACATTTTTTCGAGGTAATTTACATTGCTAACAAGTGCCATATGAGGACATACTTGTCGATTTTTGGGAGCTCATCCGTTTTCAAATTTATATTATAATACAATATCTCTTAGTATTTTGTTCACTAAATAATAGTTCCATTTTTTTGCCTAAAACAGGTTCATATTCACCAACTACTAAGTGAAGAATTATCTCTAGAAAAATCCAAGATGATTGGCGCAAGACTCGTTGGTGCACACGGTACAGGATGGGAAGTCTTTAGCATAACGCCAGGTAAGGTTTCTGTGTACAATTTATTTACAGAAAAAAAACAAAGGCACACGCTAGCAAGATAATTACAGCGCCCTTTACGGCAGTTTTGAGATATCTTTTTAATTTTGCATAATCACTATAAATTGTTTTCCTGTCATTCTGTACCCACAATTCATTTCTTCTTTCATATTTAATAACCTTGGAAATCATGAAAGCATTGGCTGTTGATTTATTACAACAAAATGCCATAACCTGAGATCTTACTAAATTCCTCTTTTTTTTCATTGCAGCGGTTAAATCATGGCGTGAAGATCCATCCTCAAATCACGGTTTGATGGTTACTGTGTCAACGATGACTGGCATCACAACACTAGATAACTCAGTTATTCGCTTTGCAAAAAAGAAGGAACATCACAGCAGTAAGCAACCAATCTTGGTCACGTTTACAAACGATGACAGCAAACAAGTGGAATCCAGGGTCACAGAAGGCAGTGGTGGTGAGTTCATACTATAAACTTGTATAACTATTTCAACTTCATAGCAAATATCATTTTAACATAAGCAAATTATAAAATTTGGAAGTTGTATATTTTTATTCAAATAATGTTTACTAAATACTATCTCATTGTTTCAGGAACTACTGATTATGACTATACTTACGACTACATCATGCAGACGTACGGCGACATGATACACGCTACCAGAACCAACACCGAGAAGCAAAGTATTAACAAACCTAATGTGAATACCAATAGATATGATGAAAGCATTCGCAGGAAGAGACAAGCAACAGAAGACGAGACAGCAAGTCAGCCCATGCCAACAAAACAATACAAGACACCATGCTCAAAACAGAAACTTTACGTAGATTTCGAAGAGATTGGTTGGTCAGGGTGGATCATTTCTCCACGAGGGTACAACGCATATCACTGCAAAGGAGAATGCCCGTTTCCACTTGGGCAGACATCAAAACCGACCAATCATGCTACAGTGCAGAGCATAGTCAATGCACTGAAGCTGGGAGACGAAGTAGCCATGCCATGTTGTGTACCCGATAAACTATTTTCCATCAGCTTGTTGTACTTCGATGAAGATGACAATGTAGTGCTTAAGCAATATGACGATATGGTAGCAGCAAGCTGTGGCTGTCACTGAATATTTAAACCTGTCAGGAATTTAGCTATCAAAAAAAAATGTAAAACATTTTTTTACATTTTTATAAATGTCACCAGCATTTCCATCTTGAAATGTCACAGAAGTTAATTCTGGGATAAACAGAGAATTAGGATTCAGTGTAATAAGTGTACATAGAATATTTATGTATATAAATTTATGTTACCAATTTGGCCAACATTTATAACTGCCTTAATGTATATATAAATATATTTGATAATTATTCTATCAGCTAATCTTCAATATACCTATTGCTAGCCATGGGGTACCCACATCCACACATCCAACCACAAGTACCCACAGTTCTACTCGTCCAACTAGGGGGTAACCCACATCCAACCAGAGTACCTACAGTTCTATCCATCTAACCAGTGTATACCCACTCACCCAAATGCAGATAAACCGTGTATTTAACTATGGGGTAGTCATCGTTGTATTAAAGAGGGCGTACCCACAAATTTACCCAGCTAGCCAAAGGTTACCCATGTATCACGTCAATGCTATGCATACTGCACCCAGAACTTTCTAAGTTTGCAAATTCTGTTCCTATATTCAGTTGTGCAAATTGACCAATTATAAGCCATGTCTAGTTTTGCCCTTCTGAAAATGCCTTTATTTAAACATATCAAGACACGCCAAGATGTCAATCAACCTACACCTGTACTAGAGAAAGTATATTGTGCATATTTATAAGCAGGACTGACCTAATTTATAAGACAAGACTTGGCTATGCTAAGATATTTGGCACTATTGGACCACATCTGCCAGTGTCTACCGTCTTCGTTTCAATTATTTTATGTGACAATGGCCATTTGGTTGTCTAGAGTGTATATATTATTAAAGTTTTCTAGATTCTTATTTTATATCTATATTAAACTTTGAAAAAACAAAAAACACAAAAAAAAAAACAGAAGTATTTTTGTTTGTAGATTTTATTTTTCTCATGTGAAATTTCAACACATTAGCATAAAGATATAATAAAAAATGTGGTTGTATTTAATACAAAACTTTCTTTTGTTTGTCTTTCTTTGCTTCATACAGGTAAGACAATAAAAAAAAAAGATTTTGTTTCATTGTCTTCCGGGACAAAAAATTGTACCGGTAGTAAGTTTATTTAATACTAGAATAAAAAGATTTATGTCAAAAGTTTAACATTTATCAAATTATGCTTTCAAGTGCATGCATTGAATGTTGATTTGAATCCACAACAGATTCTCTAAACAGAAAACGGACATTTCTCCATTCTGCAGTGGTACACTTTACTAGTATGCAAAATCAAAATGTGAGAGGTTTCGGTCTGATGTGTGCGATGATGAAAGCAAAATCTATTTTGTTTTGGCCTAAGCATGGTCTTTTCTTTCTTTCTTTCTTTCTACAGGTAACCATGGTAACTGATTTCACAAGTGACAAATTTTCATGAATTGTGAGTTCAATAAAATTAAAAAATGTTTTAGCAGCAGTCCTCATTATAGTGACATTTGTAACATATTTTCACCAACTACGTCAACATTTTAATCTGATTTAGTGTCTTCTGCCAATAAATAAATGGATTATGTATAACAAATTTGATATGCCCTTCAAAATGATAGTGCTTAATATAAACCTGAAACTATACATTCGTCAGTGTGTCATACGCAGTGTGTCATGTGCACTGTACAGTGTGTTGTACGCAGCATATGCAGTATCTGAGCATAGAAAATGCAAATGCCTAAACCTGATGGTGAATGTTACCTTAGATGACTGCAATACAGCACTTATACACTCAGATAGTACACTGCATTAAATTTTAAATTAAATTTTACTACAATTCATAACAAAGATGTTATTTCGATAACTTTACAATTCTCACAGCGCCCACCTCAGAGCCATTTACAAAAACAGTTGAAAAACATAGGGGGAGGGGTACTAAAACATGTTCATTGCAAAACAACAATATCAAACAGTTTCAAGAAAATTCATCTAAACTTGAGGCACCATTAAAATACAGCATCATGTCTTTCTCTATATCACCACCAGAGGACAGTACATTCATTTCAGATACCAGGAATTCATTCTATTGACTCTGTTATGACTTTCGGTTGTGGGTAACGGCTCAATAATCTATTTATTTGTTTTGATGTAAGTTTACTAGATTTAGATTCCCCTTTCTTCATCGCTTCCATCATAGCTTTTCGGTTTTGCTGTAAAAAGAAGACCGCATTATACATTATTCTACTGCGTAGTGTTTGATTGTTAGCTGGGTTATTTTCATCAAAGCAGAGTGTGTTACAGTCAAACCTGTGTATAAAGAACACCTGCCTAAAGTGACTTTTAAATTAATAAATGCTGCTCAGACTGATAAATATGATATATAGAAGATAATATTTGGTAATCGTAGTCCTAAATAACTATTAAAAATAGCTAGACGTTTCGAGCAATGGCTCTTTATCGATAGCATAGAAGAAAATGTTAAAACGTACAGGTAGAACATAGGAACGTAAGAACATGCATGAACTATAAAATAGAATCACAAAAAATTTCACAATAGAACAAATGACGCGCCTTAGGTAGTGAGCTCAACAAATGAGTTGAACTGTTTGTTAATACCATGGGGTTCTTTAGTTTCAAGGCGGAATATAGTTTCCTCCTCGACGCGCCTGAGCTGATTTTCGTTGCCATTGACAACACATACACCAGAAATAGACATATCTGTAATATAATCTCCACTAGAATTAAAATGAAGTGAAACCGGATAAAAATGATTGTTCTGTCATTGCTTAAAGTGACCATCTTTAGGTAGTAAAGACTATCCTTTCAGCAATAATTTATGCAGGTTCACCTTTGACACCAAAATAATAATTAGTATTCTGTTCATAAAACAATTTTTCATTTCTTCTAGACAAACTTATTTCATTTTGATCAACTCGAAAAAATGTGTTTTCCTTGCAACAGTAACATTTCATTATTTTCTAGACAAATATTACATTAAATGTATGATCCATAAAAAATAATCCAACCTAGGTCCACTATACACAGGTTTCACTGTATATTGAAACAAAGTTTTTATTCAACAATAACAATAAAATGTGTTCTTTCCTTTAGAAATCAATATTATGATTATTATTATATTATTATGAGAATACCAAAAAGTATGCATGAAGACAGCACAGCAGGAGTATCGACCGATGCGCGGCGGATGTTGATGCAACCGTGTACTGTCTGTTGTTATTAAACATCTTTTCCCCCCAATAATACATCATGAGAATGCCGAAATACAAAAGTTTAGAACAGATTGAGCGAACTTCTTTGTATGTGGTCCGGTCAAACTCTGAAGACTGCCATATTTGTTTTTATTATTAAAGGATGCTTACGTGCATAATCATTCCATATTTGGAATTCACATTCACATGAAAATACCCAGTGCAATACCACGCTGTATATTACGGTGTTATGGTAACCAATGTATTATATGTTACATTTATATATTTGGCTAAACACATTTTGTCACTTTTACCACTAATAACTTTAGGTAATGAATTATTTTTAGAAAATAATGACAACCATTGCATTTCCACTTTGTATTATATATAGAAAACCTCTGGCTGATTATTGTGGTCATCCTGAAAAATGAAATATGGCAGCACAAATAAGGTGTTTCGCACATGTTGCAAAACATGGAAATTGTCCAAAGTTTAATTTAACCCACACATGTTTAACCTAGAGTTCTTGTTTCTCGGGTTAAACACAAACTTGTGGTCGAGTTAAAAAAACTGCCCTCCAAATAGTATTAGCTCATTATACTACAAGATAGCACACAACATGCAATCAACTCAAGAGCACAGCAATACTTGATCATTGAACAGAGAAGACAAAATTATTTTCATGTGGAAAGACCAGAGCATTTTGACATTGATGGATAGAATGTTAGAAAAGCACGACTTTGCCATAATGTCATAAATGGAGAGTGAGAAAGGTTCTTTCATTTAAATAGTTCAAATCAAGATACTTACTCAAATTTCAAATTCATGTAAAAAGTGATAATGGATGCTACAAATGTTTAAACTTTGCCAAAACCATTTCAAACACAAAAGTGTAAAAAGAAATAACAGACACGATGTTTTGGTCTGCCATAGTGACAAAAATGTACATATACATGGATACCTAGTGTTAACAGTACACAAAATTTTGAATCCAAGATGTGAAAATCGACACATTTGAAGACTGTCAAGTAATGTTTTAAAAGCTCAGTTTTACCAGCCAAGATCTTATGCAAGATTTTACCTGTGCTTGGGCGGTACATTTTTGAAATGCAGTTATTTCTTCCATACAGTCCGAGTCAATGTAATCAAACTTCTTCCAGCAAGTCATTAACACAGACATTTCTTCTATACAGGGTGCAGCTGAAATACAAATCAATCTGTCAATGCTTGTTTCATATATATATTCTATTATTTACGTCACAAAAAAATCAGAATAATAGTAATGTCAAATCCGATACACATATCATAATGGTTTGAGAAAACATTGACAACACAGAATCTTCTTATAAAGAAATAAAGTGCAGTGTTCCACAAGGGTCGATTCTGGGGTCCATTTTATTTTTAATTTACATAAATGATATAATAAATTTTTATAGTAAATTTTGATTTCCGTCTTATTCTGAATAACACAATTTCTTTAAAAGTTAATATATTATAGCATTATCAATACTTGACATCAATTTTATGACGTTCTTGCAGCAGATAATGTATCCCATCGTGAGCAACAAAGCCTTGAACCATGAATATGAATACAAAGAAGAAAAATTGTGAGATAACAAATATTTAATACTAAAATCGGCATAAAATAAAATTGTCCATTGCCAATAATAGCGGATTTCAATATCAAAATCAGACAATTTTGTGAAGATATTGTCAACTGCTCTGTAAGATAAAGCGTGTTAGGTCGCAGTGTTCCACTTAGTGTGCATGCCTCTACATTCCACAGGTGATGCCGCTGTCCAGGTGGCAGGCCTGATCGCCCAATCGTGTGATGAACTAAGGTTAATCAGGGGTGATTTATCAAAGTGAGTGCAATAGACAAATTGGGAGTATGTCTACAGAGCGTGAGTATAGAGAGATGGATTTGTTTTGCTGTTTGTAGTGTATAGTACTACATTGTTTGCGAAATGAGATGGGATGGCTAATACCCACTAGCTTTCCAGCCATGTTCGTTTACTCGCTATGCGTCTGAATTTCGTCAAATCACTGGCCTCCCATAGCATTTGAAAATAACTATTACACAGATAGTTTGAAAACACTCATGGGATAACAATACGACTATGTACATATATCCCAGATACGCATCCTTGTGCACTCCTGCAGAGAGTCGATTCGCAGTGGTGAACTAGGAGAGACTATGCATACACACACTTGCGTACTAGTAGTGTAGTGCGAGGTTGCGGCGAGCACCAGGACAGCGTACCAGTGTGCACTTCACTTGGGCAACCACTACAATGCTACTTCACACAAAACATCATTCACTCGTCCACTCGCAATGTAAATGATACAAAAATACACTAGTATTTGATGGATTAAAACTAATTTCTTAGTTTGTCATATGAGACTGTAAAAACAAATTTCCAGAAAGAAGATTTAAATTATGCAGATTCAGGGGCCAGTGACTGTAAAAGTGTTCCGTTCACTGTGGACTTTTCTCCAATTTTTCTGCTTTTTAGTGGCAGCAATCCCACTGGTATTGACAACGCTACAAAATAATAACAATAATGAACTCCCCACCAACGCATACGTCGCACAAAGTGAGCTTTTGTGCAGTATGGGTTGGTGAGTTGGCTATTATTGTTAATTATACTTCACAAAAGTTAATAATAAATGCCAATGAGTGTGTAACTAGAGTTGTGTCGATCAGCTTATCATCAACATGCAGAAAACAAATTACATTAATTAATATAAAAACATCACAGAGGTCAGTCACGAAGGAGGGCAGTTTAAGTATACATGAGTCACCTATAGAGGGCTTTTCTCCAACAAATTATTTATCGAGTAACCAGAATCTAAATTGAAAAGATATAGAAAAAGATATGGGCAAATTAATCAATCACCAAAAATTCAGACATATCTCTCAATTTCGCTATTATGTTGCCAAATTAATTCTTCTTTTAGTTTACAAATCACTAATCCTACCTCAAATTATGTACTGTCTAGAGGTTTTGAAAAACATGTGTCCATCTTCCATTAGTTCAATCATAGACCCTCTAACAGAGAGTTAGGGGGTCTATAGTTCAATTTTACATCTCCTTGCTATTAAACTGACAAAAATCACAATTAATGATTGGGTTACGTGAAATCTACATATTCTGCAGAGACATCGTTGTCTTATTTTCCTGACTCAGATGTTAACCCGTTCGTTACAGGAAACACACACGTGACAATAATTATTTTTGAAGGGAGGGACTTTACACGGAACACAAAAACTGTTTTGGGAGGGGGGGGGGGTAGTATCACCGAAATTAATAGTTTTATTACAATGTTTATTGTTCCATACTCGTGACCTCATGATCAAGGAATAAATACAATTTGAAAATGTGTTGATTTACTTACAGCCGGTTTCGCTTTTTTTGCTCGAGACACGATCATCCAAAATCGGTTTCTTAGTCACTGCCACGGGACCACGTTTGTATCGATTGGCTGGAATAGCCATTCTGGCCTTCCATAGCAACTGTCTAGGATTCGACATGCTCGGGACAATTCTCTAAATGTCCAGTAACGTGCGCCAATTTCTGCCGTAAACCAGACATAAAGCGTTGTGACCTTTGACCTCAAAAAGTTCACCCTTTTACGTACTATTGTAAAATATGATCAGTCGAGACACTGAGCGGCTGAAATGGCAATCATGCACTTGTTGTAGTATACATTGCACGGGCAATATACTTATAGTCAACATAGTAATAATATTTTTCACGTAAGATAATGTTTTGAATGAAATACTTTCCGTCACAATATTATTTTATCACGGGTCGCAAAATGATTAACTCATGACTGTGTTCATTCAGACACCGCTGATCTTGTGTTTTTTTTAAAGACAATATTCTTGACTAACAGATACACCGGAAATATACTGATAGACGAGACGATGTTTTCTATGAACAACGGAGAAACAACTCCGGTTTTTCGAAAGCAAATAATATACAGTCGCTAGAGGGCGCAATACATTGTTGATGCATGTTGAATGAATGATCTGTCAGACTGAAAGGGTCAATGTTCAATACAATATACCTCCACGGTGCTCATATGCCTATATTTAGTGCGATGTAAGGTTCATTTATGAAAATTCAAGATATAAAATGTTTCAGATTACAGCCTCCAAATATTACGAAACCGTGTTAACGAACGATGAGGTTACGTAATGGGATTACGTTTTATTTTAGGAGTCGACCACGGAAACAAATATACATGCAAGATGTTTCAAAAACAGTTGCTGGCAAAAACCAGTTGACAAGTATCTGTGCAAGACATGTGAAAAAAATACATTGGTCACACTTTTCCTGCCACCCCCATGTTTGATTTCTTACCAAATCAATAACCCTTCACAAATGGCCGCACAAATCACGTAATAGTAGTCAGCATGTGCTTCATATATTGGACTTACCCAATGTACGTATCGAATAAAACACTGTTATTACATACTTTCTCAATGTTTTAACACATCATTCACCCATTTTCGCACACTGGGTGGTACCGAAGGTTTTGCGCGCCATGATATCTCTCTACACGAATATTCTAGCCATGTAAGTTACCCCCATCCAATTTCTATATAGAAAAAGGAACCTCTTGTAGTGGAATTGGGGATTTAATCTGTAATGAATAAATATTTTTGCAAACAATGTCTACAGAAGGAGCGCTACTATGAAATTGTTACCGTTTTTTGAATTGTAGGTATGTTTGGGTCTTGTTTATTGTTTAAGAACACCGTCTTCTGTGCACGGTAAAAATGGAACAGGTAAAAATGGAACAGGAAACGATGGACAGTGGAATGATTAGACGGTATTGGGACACTGCCTTGTGGCAAGGTTTAATGATTTGACAAATAAAAACAAGGACTTTCTCATATTTTCCAATCTGTCTGTCTTCAGTTGTACTCAGTTCATTAGCTCAATAAATTTCTGCTCTATTTTTTTTTACTTTTTGGAAATTCAACCTTTGAATTTTGTCTGTATTTTCTATATTTTGTACATTCATGAAGACGTATTGTTCATTTCCAATCTTTCTTTGACGTGTACAATATTTACATGTTCTCATTTCTAGAGGTGTTTGGGGTTGACTATTTGAATGTGTGTTACATTACTTCGTCTGTCTCTGCATATATTTTCATTTTCCGGATACATACGTACATACATGCATGCACTGTCTAGGACCTAACAGTCACTGATCAATATATTGAGTATTATTATTTTATACAAAGGATGACATCACATTTCTTAACGATATTATAAATCCAGGGTATACGATTGTACTTTGAAAAAGTACTTTGGTATAAACATGGCAGTACTATTGGCGGTTCGGTGGCACTCTCTACATACTAGTAGTTATAGATCAAGACCAACCCATCCCATGAATCTTCTCTGAAAACCAAATCTTAATATATTTAAAAGGTGTCACAAGATACGTATTTAGTGTAGGATAAAACTTCTACACATAGAGGTCACGTAGGTCATAACTTTGGATAATTCTACACACAGAGGTCACGTAGGTCATAATTTCGGACACTTCTACAAAAGGAGGTCACGTAGGTCATAACTTCGGACACTTCTACAAAAGGAGGTCACGTAGGTCATAACTTCGGACACTTCTACACAGAGAGGTCACGTAGGTCATAACTTCGGAAACTTTTACAAAAGGAGGCCACGTTTCATAATAATAATAATAATAATAATAATAATAATAATAATAATAATAATAATAATAATAATAATAATAATAATAATAATAATAATAATAATAATAATAATAATAATAATAACTTTATTGCATCCTTAGAAATACAATGTTTCTATCAGTTAATAGCAATAAAGATTAGTTGTGATAACTACTACTACAAAAAGAAAGTTAGTTGTTAATAGGATAAAGCAAGTGTTACATATCAAATGGCATTTTCATTTTTTGATTGAAGTGCGTTAAAAGTATAGTTGCCAATCTTTTTTATTACTAGAATTACATCATCATTTGAAGTCATCAAGAAATTACATTTCTGAAGATCATCCTGTGTTTCTTGTGGAAATGTAATGTCTTGTATGGTTTGTTGGCGTTATTGTGAGCATATCATAACAAAGTGCAGTTCATCTTCTATTTCATTCTGTGTACATTTCATATGAGGAGGAATGTCTATCATATTCACCAAACTCTGCTTCATTGGAATGGAAATGAAACCCTTTTCATCAAAGTCGAGGTTTCTGCGAGCAGCATTCCGAAAGTAATTACAACCTACGTCTTGTATTGAGGTGTGAGCTCACATTACATCGACACAGGGGAGTCTTTTGTGTCGAATCCGTGAAAGCATACAAGACTCAGTGTACGACTAAATGAACATTTTGGCAATTGTCTTGAATACAGAAATAACCGCTATTCTGTCAGTTTTGAAACATTCTTATCTTAGACCAGTAAATTACCATGTTTTGATTATTGAAATTGGCTAAAAAGATAATATATCGTGCCTGATATGACACTTCTTGTTGTATTGCGTTTTATATCAAGGTTATGAAACCAGCTTTAAAAATGTAATAATGCTCTATTGCTGTATTTCATGGTGGAAGTCTTGATGTAGGATGTAGGGCAGAATATTTGACTCGTTTTTCCAAACAGTTCTATACCAAACAACACAATATACAGATATATAAATGTTCTATCGGCGTGTACGCATGAGAACGATTTCTATTATATTTGTAGAAGAATATGCTTATCCTGTTGGTTGGTCATGTGACACGTCGTTATATAACCGGGAAAATGAGCTTTCATATAATTCAAGTATAATTATAGCCATTTACGCGAAAAACATTTCAAGTACCGCTTGCTACACTAGCCGAAAAATAATCCCGTTATTATTATTATTATTATTATAATTTGTATCATATATACGTTTGAGTTTACGTCACTGTGGAGATTCAGGAGATCATACTTTGTTAGAATCACGTTTCTTTCTAGGCGACGATTTTGCCACTTTTTCCAAATTAAATTAATATTGTCGTATTCATCCAGAATTTTCAGTTTACTACATTAAATCACATTTATTTGTCGGATGTCGCATTATGATGTGCCCACTCGTGTTAGGTTCTGATAATGCCAATAAAAAAACACAAAACGATTTTGTTTTTCAGCAATAATTTCACAATAACACTCGTCTCATAGCAATGTCAGATTAGAGTACATTATATTTATATTAAACAACACGTGTTTAAAGTATGGGTTGTATAGTGTTTGTTATGATGTTGATCATGTTTTATGAATATGTGTACTATGTGTTTTCATTTGATTGCCAAATGAGGTAGGTCGCGACTTTTGTCGAAGTCAAACTGTCCTTCGGTTATTGCCTTCGAATTGTAGAGCGTTTTTGTATGACGTGCGCCTTCCAATAAACAGTTGTAATATTAATTTTGCAAGCATACCAGTGCATCGAAAGCGCTACACGATAATGGTCACACGTTAGTCAGAGCAGCAAACACATCTATTTGATAAAGCAGTGAACACCTGTGACGACATTAAACACTATAGAGCTGTAATGTACACGTAGACATTCCAAGCACACAGTACGCTGTCGGCCGTGTGTCATGTATAATATCACTATAAGGTGACAATACATTAAATTTAACACAGGACATATTCCATTATGTAATCACGTTTCCAGTGAAAACCACTCTGAACATGCCAGTATCTTTACAGCCTGACCTTTCGGTGCTAAAACGTTGATAATTGGACTTTTACTTGGTAGTTAGGTACACCTGTGACGCCAGTATATGTTATAACCATACAAAATACAAAAGTTACGCGTGAGTATGTAATAGTGTATATTCTTCCCACGCGCTTATGAATAATTAATTAGTTGAAACCATTTTGAAAGAGGGGTTTTTGCGCGATATCTTCTACATTTTGAAAAGGGTGGCTTGTCAGTTAAGTACATTAATGTTCATTTCGCTGTTTATTATAATTATGTTATTGTCTCCACAAAATGTATTTTTCGCGTAAAATATCAATCACATTGTTTTTAAAACGGAACGTCTCATAAATCTTATTATCTTTGAAATGGAGCCTTCGGCATTGCCACGTGTATTTGTTTTGCATCTTAGGGGGCTCATTACTATGCAAAATCGACAGTGATACAGGGAGTCTAAATTTTACTACGGTTTCATTCACGAAACAGCTGGTGGGTGGCAGACGATCGAAGTATGGCGAGTTCGCCAACATTTTGTCGCATTTTCACGAGATTTTGTCGAACTTTGGCTAGTGCAGCTCTTAAACCAACTCCAGAGGTTCATCAAAGGTAAGAATTTGGTGTGACTGTTTTTAGCATTTATAAAATTGTTGGGTGTTTGGAATAAGTTGTTGAACTTTACGCTGAGGTCACCGAATTCTCAAGATTCCCAACGTTAAATTGAGGCAGGTTATACTCCCTTCAAATTACAATCCAGCTCTTATTCACCCTAGTGCACAGTTTTTTAGCACAAAATTCACTTTTACGTAGTCCTAAGTAGGCCATCTTTCGCATAACTATTCAAACCACGCTGTTTTGGCTGCCTCGATGTGATAAAATGATGCAACTC